TAAAAAAGGAAGTGTATTTACCTTCCTTTTTTCCAAAAATCGACTACACCAAATTTCTCGGGAAAACACTTTTTCTTATTAATTTTGGGGCGTAGAATCCAAAACAATTCGTACTTTTTCGATTAGACTTCTCAATCAAAAGTTATAGACTAGAAACCAAATTCTAAAGAAAATTCAAAGGGCTGTAACTTTTGAACTGGTAGCCCTATCTTCAAACTGTTTGAAATTATGGATTCTACAGGGCACATTCTATAAGAAAATTTTTTTTCCCGGTCGATCTCAGACAATTTTTTTTTCGAGCCTCAAAAAAAGGCAGTGTTAATTACCTTCCTTTTTTCCAAAAATCGACTACACCAAAATTTCTTGGGGAAAAACTCTTTCTTATTAATTTTGGGGCGTAGAATCCAAAACAATTCGTACTTTTTCGATTAGACTTCTCAATCAAAAGTTATAGACTAGAAACCAAATTCGAAAGAAAATTCAAAGGGCTGTAACTTTTGAACTGGTAGCCCAATCTTGGAACTGTTTGAAATTATGGATTCTACAGGCCACATTCTATAAGAAAATTTTTTTTCCGGGTCGATCTGAGACAATTTTTTTTCGAGCCTCAAAAAAAGGCAGTGTAATACCTTCCTTTTTTACCAAAAATCGACTGCACCAAAATTTCTCGGGAAAACACTTTTTCTTATTAATTTTGGTGCGTAGAATCCAAAACAATTCGTATTTTTTCGATCAGACTTCTCAATCAAAAGTTATAGACTAGAAACCAATTTCGAAAGAAAATTCAAAGGGCTGTAACTTTTGAACTGGTAGTCCAATCTTCAAACTGTTTGAAATTATGGATTCTACAGGCCACATTCTATAAGAAAATTTTTTTTCCGGGTCGATCTGAGACAATTTTTTTTTCGAGCCTCAAAAAAGGCAGTGTATTACCTTCCTTTTTTACCAAAAATCGACTACACCAAAATTTCTCGGGAAAACACTTTTTCTTATTTATTTTGGGGCGTAGAATCCAAATCAATTCGTACTTTTTCGATTAAACCTCTCAATCAAAAGTTATAGACTAGAAACCAATTTCGAAAGAAAATTCAAAAGGCTGTAACTTTTGATCTAGTAGCCCAATTTTGGAACTGTTTGAAATTATGGATTCTACAGGCCACATTCTATAAGAAAAATTTTTTTTCCGGGTCGATCTGAGACAATTTTTTTTCGGGGCTCAAAAAAGGCAGTGTATAACCTTCCTTTTTTACCAAAAATCGACTACACCAAATTTTCTCGGGAAAACACTTTTTCTTATTAATTTTGGTGCGTAGAATCCAAAATAATTCGTACTTTTTCGATCAGACTTCTCAATCAAA